CCAAGCACTTCCTGCAGCACCTGAACAGTATGAGGAAAGGATACTCTCCCTCCCCTCCTACTACTACTACTACTACTGCTACTGCTACTGCTACTGCTACTGCTACTGCTACTGCTACTGCTACTCCTCCTCCTCCTCGTCCTCCTTCTCCTTCTTCTCCTCCTGCCGCCGCCCCTGCATCTGCTGCTCTTGCTTCTGCTGCTACTACGCTGCTAGCGCTGCTCATGCTCCTGCCGCGACGATGACAATGACAACTGCTACCGTCTCTGCTACGCATGCTACCGTCAATATCTTGCTTCTCATCATCGGCTGCATTTGGATCAGAACATCAGGGATTGCCTTCTATAACCTGCCGAATCCTCAGTTCCTCCTAAGGATTCCACGTCATGATGCCCAAGGCCTACATGACAGGACGTGTAGCCGAGGCACGAGGAGATCATGAGCCTGTGTTTGGATCTTCTGCGCGGCGCCCACGTTTCCAGCCGCCTGGCAAGGATCGCTCCAGCTTCAGCGTCTTCACGTGGGATGTCTTTAGGCTGGAGGTGATTCACATACATGAATATGTATGTGCATATATATACACACATGTTATATACCTACCCATGTACAAGGAGGAGAGGGAACGAGAGAGAGAAATAGCCAGGAAAAGCTTTGTCTGAAAGGCTGTGATAGGCTGGGATTACGTATATGACATAACGGAAGGATCCACCTTTTCACTATTTTCTGCGGAAGCCAGCTTTGAGAGTTAGCCGAGAGCTGTGGCTTGCGTGACGGAACCCTGCCAGCACTACAAAAAGACATCCAAAGCTCAGTTGTAGCTATCCCTTCGTAAGCATTCTAACGGTCGAAAAAAGGTACTACCAGGGTAGGCATGATTTACGTTTGTACTTAGATGCCTTGTTCCTGATATAATAGAGGTATGGAAGCCAAAGCCTTCAAGCCAATGGTATCGGGCCAGGCGTGGTCAGGTTTAGATATCACTTGGAGCGTGAACAGTAACAGGATTTTGGTAAACCCAACCCCCCTAAATTAGCACCCTACTATAGTCATATGAACTTATGAACCCTCAATTTTGCGGCTTGGAGTGATCGAGAACCCCAGAACCCCAACAGGTGCGCACAGAGTTGCGTGCGCTAACTGAGCCGATTTTGGGTTATGGTGTTTGTTCGGGTGATGCCGCCTTACAGTAACAGTTGCCACAAGGCATAGTAGAGGCTAGAAGAATCCCCGAATAAAGCCACTTTCGGGTCCGTTACAGTGAGCGGAAACGACCCCAGTCATAGTTATAGCTGACTATTCTGTAACCCTAATGATTAATGTCCCAGTTTTCATGCTCTTCTCCATTTCATTCTCCGTTCTCCCAACAAACCTTAGACCCTGAATCTGTAAAGGCTGATACTCACTTCCCCTTAATGTGTGAAACCAAACACAGTACCATTATAGGCGTGAATATTGGGTGTGAGGAGCACGCGGGGGGCGGGGTGGGGGGCTAGTATTAGGGAGATGCGATGAAGATGCATGGCCATCTGACAGGTGCTAAAACACAAGAGCTTTCGGGGCGCTAAGGTCTGGTAGCAAGTTGGACGGGCTCCAGGACATCGACTTCAGCAGGAATTTGCATGCAGGAGAGAGATTGACAATTGGAGAGTTCTGAATGCTTCGCACGTATAGGATGGCAATCGCTGTGCCAGTCATGTGGACTTTCAACTGCCCAAAAATTCAAGCACTCCAGGCTCAAGTTCCAGTGATTACCTCCCCAAGAACTCTAACATGGAATTTGAAAGAAAGCCCTTTGTCTAGAGTCCTTTTGGATTGGGGGGCTACATTTGGAGTTCGATACCAGTTTGGGGGAGCGAACCGTTTGGAGGAAACTTGATACTCACCGTGAATCCCAGGCCTGGTATGCATGGACCTGGCTGTGCGCGCTGTCCTGGATTTTGAATAAGAGTCTAGGGTTCAGCAGCATGGACAGGGGTGGGATTGTACCATCGAGTGAAGTAAGACTATCATGGAAAGGCCGTAGCCCTTTATTCAAAGGATCCCAGTCTGCAAAGGTTCCGTTTCGGGTTCAACTGTGGTGGGGGGATCCCTAGTTCTCCAATGCCTGCACCCTAACTCTTGCCCTTTTTGACCGGCACTGTCTCAACAAGCTACTGTTAGGACCTGACTAATTACCCATATCATGTTGAGGTCTGCTTGTGGTACCCTATGCCACAGTTACACAGGAAATCTGATTTAAAAAGCATTGGTCGTCACTTGAGTTCATGTAGTAGCTAGTCAGCTAGTCTTTGTCCAATGTCCTACGCCAAGAAAAACCCTGAAAACTCTTGGAATCAATGGGAGAGTTAACGTAGCAAACAACCACCTTCTCCAATCCCAAGCTTCCGCCTCTTCCTGCTCCTGCTGCCACTCCTACCACCACCACCACCACCGCCGCCACCCCCACCCCCACCCCCACCCCCACCCCCACCCCCACCCCCACCCCCACCCCCAGCNNACCACCCCCACCACCCCTACCACCCCCTCCACCACCACCACCACCACCACCCCTACCACCACCACCGCCACCACCAACACCAGCACCACCACCCCACCACCACCACCACCACCACCACCACCACCACCACCACCACCACCACCACCACCACCACCACCACCACCACATCGTAAGAATAACAATAATAACACGGATTCTACCACATTGTTGTAAATGCATGTTCTGCTTCGGGGAGCCCCAAGTCCTACATGCCCAAGTCCGAAACCCCAAAGCCCGGAAAGCCGGAGCCCTAAATCCCAGACGCCTAAGAACTTGGGCCCCATGTGTAAGAAGAATACCCTACATTGGGCCCCAACGTCTAGAAATATTACCTACATCGGGCTACTTGGAGCCCTAGGGTATGCCCTACTTAATCGACAAAGAACTGGGGAAAGGCAATTGGCCGGATAATCCCTAAAGCATATATTTCATCCCCTACTAAGCCCCAGTAAGTTTACGGATCTGACCCGGTGGGCTCAGACCTGGGAACGTCCTCAGAGCCCCCAAGCTAGCCCCTGACTTAGCGCACACTCGTAATACCAAGACTCAACAATTACTAATATCATGGTCCTAGATTTATTGTGGTATAATGGAACTTCAAAGAAACCTCACAATGACATTGGTAATTATTTGCCGTGCGGAGCTGGGTGGGGGTTTAAGGGAGAGGGGTGCAAGCGGCTATTTTGCTGAATAAGGATTCAATTCCGGAAGAAATACGGTCTAAATAAGGGTACACATCCGTCACCCCAACCCTTACACGCACTTCCCATCATATATAGAGTAATATAGTAGTCCTAAAACCTAAGCTCTACACCGCAGAAAAACCCTATATAGCCCCAATATAACCCCTATATAACCCCTAGATACATTGACCAGGGCAAAAACTTGCCGAGCAGCGGAGCTGGCTTTCAGCAAGTCGGCTTCTGATTTGAGTTGGGCTGCCTTGTTCTCATAGAGGCCCTGAGTACCTCATCTCTACTTGGAGGTTCCAAGGAGATAGATGAAGTAGATGCCCATTGCAACTGTAGGTAGAACCCAATTAATTACAAACCGCCCCTCAGTGCCCTGGTATGGCTCTACATAATTTGTAAAGACCACTTCCACGGAGGTGATAGCAAGAGGTGGCTGAGGGCTCAGGACTTGGGGCCTGAGGGGTTCATTTGTAGTGCTTAAAAGCTGAGTAAAAGCCTTACCCCGTGAGGCGGGGTTGCAGTTTGGCATCACCTACAATCTTGACGGGGGAGCTGTAACGATCTTAAAAAAAGTTTCTCAAGGTTATGGGCTGCTTGTGAGAAGCCTAAACCCCAGATGAAATTCTTATCTCAGAGTGCACCTAGTGCCATGCAGGATGTGCAGAATCTGAGCCTGAAGTTTGCTGGCTGGGTAAAACGGACAAGTTCTGAACACAACATGCCAGGCCCTGAACTTGAATCCAGAGGGCCCCTCAAATTCTCAAAATTGGGGGTACCATTTTTGGGGCCCTCTTGGGGTCTATAGTGGGGTCCCCCTATTTAGGGAATTCTATCAAGTGCAGTCAACCTCCGGTGCGCTCCTCTGCAGTCAGTGCAGAGATCAACTTTGCCCTTCAGCTCGGAACCCTGGATGGAGATTTTCCAAAAAGCCCCTACGTGCTGTACCCGAAGGACCCATGTGAGCTATAATTTGAACTCCTGGTATCCCTCTGAATAACCCCTAGAGCAGTCCCTACATAACCTCCTTTAAGGAGTGTAGATTATGGCTCATACATACCACGAAGTCCTCGGCATCCCCAGTGAAAGAAAAAACCAAGCTGCTCTCAACCTGTCGAATGGCAGCTCGGTACCTGGCGGAGGCTCTGCCAGCTGTTTAAAGCACAAACCGCTTTCATGAGTTTCTGTTATTATCATTTACTGGTATTATTCATGTTAGTACTGCTATTGTTTCCCTGTGACTGTAACTGTTACTTCTATTGTTAGTAGTGTTATCATGATTATTAATGATTGTTGTTATTGTTATTGATGTTGTTGCTATTGATATTATTGGAAATACTATTGCTAATATCATGGGTATTAAACGACCCTTTCTTGCTAGTGTCATTATTTTGGTAGTGATAGGAACGCAAGCCCCCACCACCCTGGACCCTACTGTATGCCCTAAACCCTAGACCCTAACAATGAATATGCCAGTGTCAAGCGAATAGCCAGTTGGAATGTTTTTAAGCATCCCCATTCCCCCAACATTAAGGGTGCACAAAAATGACCATAGCATTGATAATCCCCCTAGTGAAAGCCAGAACACGGCGCGGCAGCGACTGCGGCGGCTACCGGCGTGGGGGGCAGTGTCGGCGTGGCATGGGCCTGAAGAGCGCTGTAACTTGAACTTAAGATAGGTCATTCAGAAACCTACCATAACAAAGGGACTATAGGATTTATGTGGGCATTTCAGGGTTTATGTGGGGATTACAACAAGTATATAGGGATTGCAGCATCATAGGTGCAGTTCTAGCTGCGTCACAAAGGACCGGCGACAAGGAAAATCGAAACGAGGAAAACGCAGCACCACAATCGGCAGTAGTAGGAGTAGCGGCCGCCACCGAACGCTAGTTTTGATGGCAATGAAGGCTTGAAGGTCTTGGAATGTAAGGGATGAACTTCTTTGTCTGTAGGTATTGAGCTCTAGCTGTGGCAAGAGCTTACATGGCCTAGAGTGACGGTCGTGGAGTACGAGCTTTGAAGTTGAGGTCCATGGACGCATGCAGAAACCTGGGGGACTATAACCCCAATATATACCCTATTATAATATAGTAGTTTCCATTTTCTTTTCCATTATCCCTATATAACCCCAAAATAACCCCAATATAAGAGGAGAATTCTTCTGCAGACCTTGCACAGACAACAGGTGCATATATTCACCATGGCTACGCAGATATATGCTGTTTTGCATCTAGCTGGCAACAATGCTTCTCAGCACAGTTATCATGAAACCAACCACACCACAGCTTATGCACGAAACATATAGTTCTGTCACATCCCAAGCCATCCCTCCACACTTCTTGGAAATTTACCTGCAGCTCCCACATACCCAAAATTCATCATCGCCCTTAATCCCAATGCAATGGGTATAGCATTATTATGGGATCTAGGTAGAATCTAAACGGCGGCAGTCAGGTCCTTCAAGTTGCTCAAGAACTTCTTGTTCAGCTGATCCTCACATCCCACCCGAAAGGGTTTTCACTGTGTCGACTTTAGGGTTGGTAAAACCCTAAAAGTAGGTAAACATAATAGCCCAAGACCACCAAAAACAGCCAAAAAGACGATAATTTTAAATACTTTTAGGGTTCAGGTAGTTAAGGGTTTGGGGCGACCAGGCAGTTCACAGCGCGCTTGGGCTCATCAGTGGAAGCACGCCATGCCGGTAGCCAAGCAATGAGGTCTGAAGAAAGGAGAGCTTCCACTAGACATAAGGATGAATGACGGGATTTCAGGTCCTCCAAGCCTTAAAATTTAGGACCCATTTCCATTCATATGACGGTTATGGAATCCTTTTTGATAGCCGCTGGGGAAACTAAAGCCCTTGCTTGAGGACAGCAAGTTTGCAGTAAGCTCCAGTTCATATCTGCTCACCTATCATAAGCACAATGGCGGCCTGCTTCACTTACATATGAGTGCCATTGCTGCACATTGCAAGGTAAGGGCTATATCGAAGTTGGCAACCATACCTGAGCAGCATTCAAGCCAACTTTCTTGCCAAGATGGACTGTGTGGTACTTACTTGAAAGGTCACCGAAATTACGCATAAAGAGGGTCCCCCACGCCAGAATAAGGAAAAAGATGTACTATCCAAACCCTGAACCCTAAACCCTAATCATTTAATCCACCGGATTGTCAGTTGAAAGCTTGCCTGCTCAAGGAATGGGAAAGACCGGGGGCGTTGAAGGTGTAGTGGATTTAGGGTTTGTAGGGTTCAGGGTTTATAGGGTTTAGGGTTTAGAGGGTTTAGGGTTTATGGGGTTTAGGGTTTATGGGGTTTAGGGTTTAGAGGGTTTAGGGACGTTGAAGGTATAGTGTATTCCCCCTAAAAGGGTCAGTGTAGATATGAGGTACTTACTGGTGCTTAGTAGGACACAAGGGAATATGCTATACAGGGAGTCTATTTCCCTAATCTACTCCTACATTACTGAGAACGAGCAAGGTTGAGGCCCCCCAAAACCATTCACATTATGGTTTTCAGGCCTGACAATCTGTTGCGCCACCCGCCTCAGACTGCATACCTAGCAGATGCAGCCAGGGTAGTGTATACCCACTTGGAGGGTCAGGGGTTTAGGATTTGGGGGGATAATTGGGGTTACTATATAGCTTGTAGGGGATATACGTATACTTACTCAGTCCCCGTGACCCTCCCAGTAGGACCGCAAATAGGTACGTAATGCTACATAGACACGCCTTGAGCTCCCAGTCTATGCTGTATCGGTAGTCGGAGCGTCTGGAGATTATTGGATTGAGCAAGCTCTTCTGTTAGGCAAGACATAGCAAGCCAACGCTGACAAGACCGGGAAGAATGGTGAGAACAGCAGCAACCCAAATGACAGATTCGAAATCCGCCAATGTCCCCGAACTTGCAATCTTCTAAATTTCCCAAGGACCTTTCTTTGAAGGAACTTGGAGTTAGCTTATGTACTACATCCCTTAGCAAGCCCATTTTGACCCTCCTCAGAAAGTAATCCCGATATAATAGATTCATCAGGGAATGTAATCCCTATATAACCCCGTATAATCCCTAGTGTATGTAACCACTATGTGTCTGTAGGATCCCTAACCCATTACAACTCCAGGGCTCTTGAACTCTAAACCCTAAGCCCATCAGGAACCCCAAAGTCCCACGGAGTAGGGAGGAGAACCCATCAGAAATCCCCAAACTATAGGATAGTAAAGTATGTCATCGTTTATTATATATATCTTAGTATATTCTAGTATACTATGCTATATTAGCGTATATAATAGAATATGTTGGAGTATATTATCGTATATTATACTCTCAGGCTTCTGCACAAAAATGGGGACGTCCTGCTGCTGGAACTGCTTGATCGCCGCCTCGGCTGCCTCCTTGGCAGCCGCCTTCGGAACCTAGCTGAGTCTGCTGATAATCATAACAGCAATAAGCCTAATAATGCTAATAACAGTAATAATAGTACTAACAGGAATAGTAATGATACTAGCAAGCACAATGATCATAGCAATCGTAGAAATAACGGTAATAGTAGTATTAACAATGAGAACAGTAATAATGCAAGATCAACAACGATATTGAAATGGTAGTTGCCATTGTAACAATAGTAAATACCCGAAAATCTGAACCCTAAACCTATTGCAGCTACAACTCCGAACCGCAAGGCTAGGAATGGTTCACAACCCATTGAAAAAGAGCTTACAGGAAGATTGCTCTACATGGGCCATATTCTTAACTCCTAGTATCCCACTTAGTATCCCGTATAGTAGTCCCCTATATAACGCCCTTTAAGGAGTGTAGACTATAGCTCACATACTCTTGGATCAGTTGTGGGAATTTTCAGGTGGGTGGGTAGCCCCCCCAATAGAAGGCTCAACTGGGGTCTTAAGAGGTCTCTTCAATGTCTGCATGCTTTAAGGGTACCTACCATCTGATAGCTACCTGCCTGGGGGCTTCTTTGATCACCAGGTGGGCACCCTTACAACAGGCTTATAAAATGCTTAACGCTGGCTATGCAAGGCTTACATCTGAAAACTTCCTACCTGGTAATTCTTTAGCTTGAGGGAAACCCATCCCTAGGGATCTAAATACCCACATAGGGTTTAGGGCTTACCATGTCTGGACTAGGGTCTGAATGTTCCAAGTATCCAGATGGGCTGCCGGGTTTAGAGCCTAACCCTAAGTGTCCAAGTACCTAATAATCATATACTGGGACCCAAAACCAGTACTAGAATTACTATTGCCCAAACCCCAAGTACCTAATTTTTGGGTACATGGACCCTCTTGGTAAGGGTCCCAATTTCCATCTAGCCTACGGCTTGGACCCGGGGATGGTCGCAGGTTTGGAAGGCATAGGGTTTAATGTAAACCCCTAATTAATAAACCCCCTCCGTTTAGGGACCATAATATTAGGATCCCCATTATAATCCTTATTAAGGGGGGGGTTTTAATTAGGGGTCTACATTGGGGTTTAGGGTCCTAAGAACTGGCTTCGAAGAATTTAGGCTCCAGGGATCTGAGCACTGGCTTCCAAATCCACAGCCAGATGAAGCCAGCCCCGCAAAAAAAAACAAAACCTGAACCTCTGAATCCCTAGCCTAGAGACTGAAGCAGCACCCCAGAATGACCCGTCGCGTATGCTTTTTGAATCGATGTATGGGTGTTGCTCAACTCAAGGAGTCCCTGTAGACCGCTTGGACTGGTCAGTCCCTGTTAAACCCAACCCCTGAACATAGTCAAAAGCCGGACGTTAGCCGCTCAACCTGCGAAGGCCTTTAGTGGGTCAGTAATGGGGACGTTGAATTGCGAATGTAGACAATATACCACATTTGTCTACAATCGTGCCGTTTCGTGGCATATCGGAGCAGCGCATAGCCTTTGCATAACAGCACGAACAGGCACAATTGCTCACATTCGCACGCGTGCGAAACGTTGCAAAAACGCGACATTTGCGCTCAATGGCTGTGTTTTTTTGCTTTTTCATAGGTTTTGCAACCTTAAGCCCCAATTTAAACACCCCCATTGCCGACACGTTTAAACTTACTCAAAAAGGGGATTTTGGCACATTCGTATTTGGGGTTAACCGCTATGAACCCGAAGTAACCTATGTGAAACCATGTCCAATCCCATGTTCCATGTGATTCTAACTGGACCCTGGATGTCCTACCGTTTTGGGGATATCCCGGCCCTATAAACATGTAGGACAGAACCCCAAAAAGGAAGGACATCCAGGGTCCAGGTATTCGAGCAGAGCCTATGAAGATTGAGACGCCCAGGCCTCTGCGATCTCCTGGGCTTCTTCCTCAGCCAGATCCGCAGCCTTGTAGAACCCTAAGGGTCCAAGGACCCAAATAATTAGGGTCCCTTTAAAGGGGTTCTAGGGGGATATATAGGGATATATGGGGACTATATAAGGGTCCAAGGACCCAAACAACAGGGTTTTAGGGCCCAAATACTACAATATTAACTGTATTTGGGCCCTAAAAACCGTATTATTTGGGTCCTTGGACCCTTAGGGTAAAGAGGTTTTCCATCTTAAGGTAATATTGGACATACACAGGGGTTATGTAGGGATAATAGGGTAATATTGGGGTGATATTGGGATTATATAGGGGTTTTGTAGGGAATATAGGGCAATGTTGGATTATATAAGGGTTATATAGGGATTATAGCGCAACATTGGGGTAATGGAAAAGAAGCTGGAAGCT